GGTCACTACAGGGGTAAATTCCCCAACAGGTCAGCAAGTAGTTGCAAAGGTGGTGCTGCACCAAAAGCGTCCTTGCGGTGTCTTTGGTCCATGTTGGATTGCTCCGGTCCGTGGTTTGTATGGAAGTTGCCAACTACTCATGGAGCAGCAGTGAAACTGTGAAAAGTGCCACACAAACTAAAGAACAGAGAGTAAAGGTTCGGCTTGATGAATCCTGTTGGTCGGAGTGGTGATGAAGACAAGTGTGTTTTTACGTATTGTTGCTGATTGGAGAGTAATTGGAAACCACAGCCACTCCAACAATCTGCTGATGACCAACACAATCACAGGAAGCGTTTTGGTGCGGCCCCCTCTGTATGGACGACTTCAGCCGACAGCCTGGGGTCACCAACTAGCAGTGAGGCCAAAGGAAGTCCTAAGGAAGAAGCTAGCTGAACTTTCAGCATAAATATATGGTGTATGGAACAATGAGACATCCTGGGTTTATAATATACTTTTACATTTCTGTTGGATAAAATTTACTCTTGTGATTCGAGCTGTCAAATCTTTGAGGTTTCTAAGCCTCACAGATCGTTTTAACTGGTCAAAATGTCCCCGTTTCTAAAAATACCCTCGGTGCTGAGATCTGTTCTTTCTGTAAATTGAGCGAGACGTGCTCAGACGCTCTGCTGCCTCCTTTGTCCTCTCAGACTCTGATGACAGACCGGCTGCGTCGTGTTTAGGATGGTGCGGTGGTTCATCGGCATGTTTTACCTAAAGGTGATGTAGATGGGGTCAGCGTGGCCTCTTTGGACGAGGTCAGATGTGTTTGACTAGAATAGAAATGAGTAATTTTAAGTTTGTGTTTCGTTGCGAGTTTAGAGTTTCAGAGACTGAAGCTTTCGGGTGATTGGATGCATATTTAGACTATAAGTGATCAGTGAGGGTCCTTTGCTTATCTGATGGTGAGCCTTACGTCTTCGTCACTTCTTAAACGTATATTTTTGCCATATTAACTTCAAAGCCGTAAGACTGCTTTGATAAAAACAGTAGATTTTACCCCAGACAACCCGGGAGCTGCTGGGCTGTTTGGGGTTTTGGTGAAACCACAAAGTGCTTCTTTTTTGGTCTTAAACTGTTTTATTCATCAGCACTCATTCATTCAGAGATCAGATGAAAGCGAGGTGCTAGACGGAGAAGTGTGATGCTTTTATTTTGTATTTTCCACAGAGCACTTCCTCTGCCTGACTGACTAAAGTGATTCGTTAGCGTGTCTGTTGACGGCTGTTTCCTGTGTTCTGTGTTTGTGCAGCGGGGGCGGGGGACAAGCTGGGCTGGGCGTTCGGTCTGGGCCTGGAGAGGCTGGCGATGGTCCTCTACAGCATCCCGGATATCCGGCTATTCTGGAGTCGGGACGAGCGCTTCCTCAAACAGTTCAGAGTTCAGGACATCCACCAACCCGTCTGCTTCCAGGTAGACACAAACATCACACCTGAGTGGGAGAGGAGCAGATTTTCACAAATAAACGCAATCGTGGCTCAAGAGTTGGGAGTTCGCCTTGTAATCGGAAGGTTACCGGTTCGAGCTCCGGCTCGGGCAGTCTTGGTCGTTGTGTCCTTGGGCAAGACACTTCTCCCGTTGCCTACTGGTGGTGGTCAGAGGGCCCGGTGGCGCCAGTGTCCGGCAGCCTCGCCTCTGTCAGTGCGCCCCAGGGCGGCTGTGGCTACAATGTAGCTGCCATCACCAGTGTGTGAATGGGTGTGTGAAGTGCTATACAAATACAGGCCATTTACCATCCTGAAGACGGATGAACGTACCGACTGCAGAATGAAAGAGCTAAAGTCTGTTTTCCATCCTTGTCTTCTTTCCTGTTCTGTTTACGTCCCTTCCTCTCCTTTGTCCTTTGCTTTCACTTCTTGTTTCAGTCCCATTATTTTGCTTTTCTTCCCTCCTCTCTTCACTGCTCTCCTCATTTCCCTTCGTCCATTCGTTTCATTTCCATTTTCCTTTGTCCTGCTTCCTGTTTACCCTCCGTGCAGTCTTATTGTGTCTCTGCTGTGTTCAGTCATGTCTCTCTTCAGCTACATCACCGTGTCTGTGTTTGTGTGTTCATCACTAACCTGTAATAACTGCTGGCTCGGTTAGTTTACCTTCAGATGCAATAACGAGCCCGAGTCTCTCGAAAGAAAAACAATCTCCTACCGTCGTGAATTAATTCACAAATGCAGAAATTAATTTGCCGTTAACCACGTTCTCCTTGTTATACAGCCAGCGTTTAAAAAAGCTGCAAACAGATTGTTTCTTATTTGTGGGCCGTGGTGATCGAGAGTCGCACATACGTCCTACCAGCCAATGACAAAGCAGCAGCCCACCTACCTGTAACCACACTTTAAACCCTCACTCCGTGTGTGTGTGTGTGTGTGTGTTCTTGCCTCTTAACCTCATGCATAAAACATTTTGACAGTGGGGGCTCACATCAGCCGGCACCAGTCACTTCCACTGACCCCACCATCATCAACACACACACACACACACTGTGGGGTGTGTGCAGGTTCACACAGCGGTTACTCCGTCCCCACTAAAGGTGCTTTTTGTCGACTCTCGTCTTCGCTAATAAAGAACATTTCAAGTGACTGTTGGAGGGCAAAGAGGAGAAAAGAGAGGAGGAAGATGAAGAGGAGGGATGGTGGGGGTGGACGAGGCAGAAAACAGATGGAGGGAGGAAGCAGGGAATGAGGAATAAATGAGGCGAGAGGTAGGACAGAGGAAAGAAGAGGATAAGAATAGATGCAGAATCTGACTAAATGCAGTTATTTGAATAAAAGATCTTTAGATGTAAAAAACATAAAAGGATTGAGCGAAACGTAAGGTGAGAGAAAGTAGGCGGTGACATTAGTGAGGACAAATGAGAGACAAAACACAGCTTTAATGGAAAAAATATACTGAAGCGAGTTTGAGGAAGTGATTAAAAAAAGAAATGCTTGAAATAAATAAGAGAAATAAAGTGGGGGGGAAAGGAAAAAGAGGGAAAACAGATTAAAGTGTGTCAGGAAAACAGGCAACAGAGGAAAATGTAAATGACTGAAGAGGCACCAAAGTTTGAGAGGGGAAAGTGGAGGAACGAACGAAGGAACAAAGTGCTGAAAGATACTTTAGTAAGAAGAGAGGAGACGCTGGAAGGTGGTTTGTGAAAACAACGACATGAACCACTGTCACGCTATCCAAACACAGCATCTTTGAACTGTTTCACAACACGTGTTCATCGCAGCCAACCAATGCTAAACCTTCATTAACCGCTGTCCAATCAAACCACTTGCCTAGCTAGCAAAGAAGTCACCCAACTTCCTTAACATCCATCCAACAAACCAAAAACTGAACTGAGCAGAGAACACCTCCCTCCATTGTACAGCTAATATCTGCCTGTATTTACCCCACCTAACTACCAGCTGACCTACACAATCTTTCTTTCTTGTCAGCCAACCAATCACATCCCTTCACCAGCAATGAAAAAGAGCAGCTGATGACCAACTAACTTCATTATCCAGTCTACCAACTTACCTTAATACCCAACAAACCAATCAAACATTTGATGCTGCCTTCCAAAGTACAACCTATCGTCACCTACCTGGCAGCCCAATCACGTCCTTACCTTCCTACCACCTGACCCTGATGACCTTTATTTCTAGCGGGCGGACCAATTTTCTACTTTTAGCGCCAATGAAACATGCAACGACAGACCCACTGACCTCTTTATCGGACAGCCACCAAACTAGCAAACAAACCAAGCAACCAGTTGATCTGTGAACTACCGCCTACCAAAGAACAAGTGATGGCTGAAATCACGTGCACGCTACTTTCAGAACTTGTCTGGACCACTATTTTTTGTGCTTTTGTGACAGAATCAACAAAGTTTTACTCTTAAGCTGAAGTTCGTCAGCTCACATGGACAAATATTCACTCCGTTTGTCGTCCTCTGAGTCGGCTGGTAATAATCTCCTTTAGGTTATAATCTTACTTCATTTTCTTTTGATCTGAACAAACTGAAGGAAACGAGAGAAAATAAATTGTAAATAGCAAATGCGTTTGAAACGGCCCACATTCAATAAAGGTTTAACTGTATCTAAGAAATTACAATAAACACATAATCATTGTTGTTAAGTTGAAGACGTGAGGAGTGAGGGAGCGACCCTACTGTCCTCCTGCTGGCCTCCTCACAGCCCTGTAAGTTTTATTGATGAACTCTGTTTCTCCAGAGGGGCCCGGGGAGCATGGCTCATCTCCTGCCCAGGGTCAGTTCACCTCTCCTGGGCTGAGGCTCCCCACCTCTCCCCCCTAAAGCCTTTGCTGGCCCCCACATCCACAGGTAATGAACTGTGACCGCCCAGGGCCTAACAGGAAATAGACTCCTTGGGTGTCTGTGTGTATGTTTGTATACGCACACACACAAACGGCTTCAGGGAGCTGTGCAGTGCCACTAAACTATTATAGTGTAAACAGACGGCTCACCTCCCTCCACACGTCTGCACAGTATGGTCAGAAATATGTGGATACTTGTCTCCTCACCTACCACCTGCTGTGCCGAAGTCTTTCCCTGACGCTGACTGAGTATAAAAATATCAAACGAGACTCGTTCTTCTCTCTGTTCTTCTACCAGTTTTACTTCTGTCCTTTACTGAAATATGTATGAATTGTTTATTTAACCTTCGTGTGCAGCGCTTTGTGAAAAGCACTTAATAAATAAATGTTACAACTTTACAAATAGGTGAATAAATAAAGTTGGGTTTCCAGTTCATTTATAATTAACTAACACTTACCAAAACCAGCCAATCAGTTACTTATCTGCTTGCCCAACCAGCAACCCAACCAACTAACCTATCTAACCAACCAACCACCTACTTTAAGATGTCACTTTTTCTCAAACCTGTATACCCAGCAAACCAACCAACTTTTACCTGCCAACCAACTGCCCAATAGGCCCCTTTCTTGCTAACTAGCCAACCTTTCATCTACCTACCTTCCTAGTTACCTAACCAAGCAATTGCCTGCCTGTGTAACCAACCATTTACCTACCTGCCTGTCTGGTTAGCTGTCTACACAGCTAACCAGTTGTTGTCTATGTTCCTTCACAACCAGCCATCTACTTTGCAAACCAGCCAACCAACGACTTGTCTTAAACCTTAACAAACAAACTAACCACTAATTGACTTTTTTGTCTAACTAATCACCTACATGTGCAGGCAACTAACCAACCACTACCTAAACCAACAACTTACAGCTAACTGGTGATACCTTTTCATCCTGGGTAACAAACCAGAAATCTACCAACCACCAACTGACTGTCCAACCAATGTCAAGCCTTCGCTGACAAAAACCCAAACAGCAGCTAACTGATCCATCACTGAACCACCTGCCTTCCTCCTGCAGTTAACTAAAGTAAACTAGTCTTTGATAACACATGAAACAAACTGACCAACCAACCTTGCTGTTCTTTACCTCCACCTTTGAATTGAGCTAACTACAGTCCAGTTTCTACAGAAGATAACTCAATAACATTAAGTTGGCATATTTCACTTTTCCTTGTTTTGTTCTGACTTTTGTTCCAAAGGTGGAAAAACCAGAGTCACACAGATTGATGTGTCTCAGTGAACAGCATTAAGATGGAGAGAAAATTAAGAAAATATCATTCAGGAGCAGGAATAACAGCAGCTTCTCTCACTCTGTTATTCTGAGCATAATAAACAAGTGACAGATGATAGGAATCTCTCCTTCAGTCTGTCGCTGCATAAAACATCACATTTATTCTGTCGTCCCGATAAAGTTTTAATGTGTTGTTGTCTTTGTGTTTTACTCTCTGCTGCACTTTCTCCTCTTTCTTCCTACAGTCGGGCTGTTTCTCTTCTGACTTTCTGTCACATTTCTTCTTCTGTTATTCTTGAGTTCTTTTTTGTTGCTTGAATCTGCGCTTTCAGCTCATTTTTATTCACCTCATCTCTCAATCTCTGCAGCTGATGTGCTGATTACCCCTTCAGTCCTTACATCTTTGTGTTTATGCTTGGTTTACTTTGAAATTCTAATGAGTCTCCAGTCCAAATATCCCATAAATGTACATGTACAAAAACTAATCAATGTGGTGCATCTTTGAGGATCATTAATAACTCATAATGTGCTATTGTGAAATTAAACTATTCTTCAGGGCCTAAACATCAGCCACAAATAACCTCAGCCACGCATCTGCACATAATGCATGAATCCAGATGAAGACGTTACAAAACTAAAACCACAGCGAACCAGCAGAGAAACAACAGCGTTATGCCACATTAGCACTGAATCAATTAAACATGAAACTATTACAAATATAATCCATCATATAGTTTGTAACTATTAAGTGGGTACATTAATTATCATTGCATTATTTAGTTAAAATATATTAATGCAGAGCAACCAGTTCCCTATGACCTAACTACCCATCCACCCTCCTAACTACTTACACAACCAGCCTCTCTGCTAGCATGGCTAACCAGTTACATACCTGCCAGTCTACCTGTGCAAACAACCAACTGCGTGCCTGTCAATTAAGGACTCGCCTACATTCATCTACCACCTTTGCTGCCAGCATGGCTCATCACTTACATAACTACACAACCAACCAACTCCTTGCCTGCTTACTTACTTTGATAACTAACCAGTTAAGTACCCACCCATGTAGACACTTAACCAACTACCTAGCTACATACTTGTATGGCTAACTAATTAAGTAATTAATTAATTGCCAATCTAAACAACCAATTCCTTTCCTTTGCTTTACTACACAACTAATTGCTTTCCCACCCACCTATGTACATGACTAACCAATCATGTGATTACCAGCCTCTGCAATAAACCAGTTCCCTACCTTCCTGTTTGGGTAATCAATTACTCACCTACACGACTAAATAATTGCCTGCCTGGATAACTAACCACTATTTAATGAACCAATCAAGTGCCCACCTACCTAGATGCTCATTCAACCACCTACCTGCTTACCTCCATGGCTAATCAGTTACTTACCTATCGACACGATGAACCAAACGTGTGTTTTTCAGGGACTTTTTTATAAAGAGAAATTATCAGTTAATATTTCCACCATTGCTTACAGAGAACATTTTTAAGTTGAGCTGTCAGTCATTGTTGTTTTATACGTTTGTTTTTCAGCTGCTCAGTAAGTACCCACCTCTCCATAACGACATCTCCTTCTGGCTGCCGGACGGCAAAGAGAGCGAGGCCGGCAGAGAGAGCTTCACAGAGAACGACTTCTACGAGCTGGTGCGCTCCATCGGAGGAGACCTGGTGGAGAAAGTGTCTCTCGTGGACAATTTCACACACCCAAAGTAAGAAAACCCATCCACAAAATCAAAGCTTGATTGGATTACACCGCAGTTGCCCTTTAACCCAGGAAATAAGTGCAGTGGTTCATCTTTTTATGTCCTAATGAGAGAAGGAAGAGCTCTGAAACACTGCAAATACCACTGCGGGTCAGTAACTGCTGGCTCTAATTTATGAATTTATGATGCTAAATTCCCTCCTCCTGCTCAGAGTGCTGCTGGTACACCCTGTGATTAAGCAAACATCAGCGACGGTTGGGGTGACTGTCTTTATTGATAACCCAGGTTGAGAGTGATTAACAAGCTGTTTGGTTGTGAGGGACCAGGAGCTTCGATGAACTCAGTGCTTGTGTTGCTTTGGTTCATTTGTGATATAACAAATATTTGAGGGTATTTGCTGGTGGAGCAGATCTGTATTTACCACAGATAGACTATCAAAGAATTACTAGGCCATTATTGATATGCCATTTTAGCATTAAAGCCTCTTACTGTGATGCTAGCTCTGAGCTTTAGTCGGGTTTCTAAGCTAGCTGGCATCAAGAGTTGCAGTCCACTCTGAGTTTAGTAGCTCCTTATATAATAATTCAATTCAATTTTATTGATATAGCGCCAAATCACAACAAAAGTCGCCTCAAGGCGCTTCATAGATACAGAGAAAAACCCAACAATCATATGACCCCCTATGAGCAGCACTTTGGTGACAGTGGGAAGGAAAAACTCCCTTTTAACAGGAAGAAACCTCCAGCAGAACCAGGCTCAGGGAGGGGCGGGGCCATCTGCTGTGATTGGAATGAGAGAAGGAAGACAGGATAAAGACATGCTGTGGAAGAGAGACAGAGATTAATAACAGATATGATTCAATGCAGAGAGGTCTGTTAACACATAGTGAGTGAGAAAGGTGACTGGAAAGGAAAATAATAATAATATTTTAAAACTCAAAGGAGTGCAAAAGGTGCTTTTAACTGCACATCTCTTATCATGAAATGCACAAAATACATCAAGCAAACAGCATCCTGCCGCTTCTTACTGTGGTTGTAGTCCAGTTATTTTTATGCTAACTGCTAGCTGGCTAATGCATCATGTTAGCATTGTGCTAAAAGTGCAAACCAATAAGTGGGTAGTTCCTATTCACTGTTCATTCATCTTTAACTGCCTATCCAATTCAGGGGGCTGGAGCCTATCACAGCAATCACATGGTACGAGGTGAGGTTACACCTGGACAGGTTCACGCTCACATTCACACCATTCATCATGGAACTGATGCAGGTGACGCTAAGGCAGAAGTGCTTCAAACCTGCGTTTACTGGCCAGCAGGGTGCGAATGTACGAACATGCATGGAAAAATAGCCCTAACTTTATGACCTCATGATGAGTTCATGGTCACAGCCATGAGTTTGTGCTCTTTGTGAATCCAAAGCCAAGTTCATTTTTTTAAACTTGGTCCCATTAGAGTGAAGTCAGTCATATCTGCCCCTCACTCATCACGGCCTTTTCACAACACTCAGAAGCCACTTACCATGGGGCTACATCTTTTATTTACAGTCTGTGGAGTTACTATCAGAACCTGCACGGCGTGGCCCAGAGGGACTCTAGAGCCTCTGCGGTGATAGTAACTCAGCAGTAAAGTGCTTATCGTAAAGTAGATATAGGATCAGAAACCAATGATGAAAAAACAAAAACTGCAGGAAAAAAAAACAGAAAATAAAAAGGAAAAAGTAACAAAAGCAGAGAAACAGGAGCAAAGGTCATCCAAAGGTCATCC